AAAAAGAAACAAGTTGGAAATTTCTAGTTCTTAGTGAGCAAAGTACGGTCTTACTGAATACTTAAGTATATAAATGAATCCTCTTACACATGGGACACATAGAGTACATTTTTACTTAGCCCAGCATTGGAAGGTAGAGTGCGAGCTTCCTGCTCTAGTGTCATGATGGTTTTCTCCCAAGGCTGGGGCAGCTATGGATGAAGAAATCGATAACACTGTGCTTGTCAGGAGTTTATCCACAGTCATTGATATTCAACCTTGTCTTATTAAGAGAGATGTAGCAATTCCTGTAAAAAATTCAGTTTTCATTCTAATCCAGCTGGAAATGCATCACAAATAAGATTTTCAACGTTTTTATTTATTTTTGGGACAGAGAGAGACAGAGCATGAACGGGGGAGGGGCAGAGAGAGAGGGAGACACAGAATCGGAAACAGGCTCCAGGCTCTGAGCCATCAGCCCAGAGCCTGACGCGGGGCTCGAACTCACGGACCACGAGATCGTGACCTGGCTGAAGTCGGACGCTTAACCGACTGCGCCACCCAGGCGCCCCACAAATAAGATTTTCAAGGTGCCTGGGTGGCTCAGTTAGTTAAGCATCCAACTCTTGATCTTGGCTCAGGTCATGTTCTCACGGTTTCATGAGGTCAAGCTCCACATCAGGCGCTGCGCTGACAGCACGGAGCCTGCTTGGGACCTCTCTCCCTCTCTCCCTGCCCTTCGCCCACTCTCTCTCTCAAATAAATTAAAAATAAAATTAAAAAATTTGGAGGTGCCTGGGTTCTTCAGTTGCTTGAGCATCCGACTTTAGCTCAGGTCATGATCTCGAGGTTCATGGGTTCAAGCCCCATGTCAGACTTTTTGCTGACAGCTCGGAGCCTGGAGCCTGTTTCAGATTCTGTGGCTTCCTCTCTCTCTCTCTGCCCCTCCCCCATTCATGCTCTGTCTCTCTCAAAAATAAATATTTTTAAAAAAGAGATTTTTGACCTTTATATCAGAGGCAAAACCTTGCATATTGACATCTTTTCCCTTCCTTCCCAAGATCTGGAAGTTAGCACCTGCTGATATTTTGCACTGACTATGGGATCCATGTTTGATGCCATTCTTAAAATAAGCCACAACTTTTGTGTGGAGTGAGTGGAGACATTTGAGAAGCACTTCAGTTCAGAGGGAAATAGCTAAACACCGTAATAAACCCACCCAACCTCAGAGAGAAATAAGATTAATGAAAAGCTGTCATCCTACATAAGGAAGGTCTCGGATTCATACCCGGAGAGGAGTAGAGAGTTGTGTGTCTTCAGAGTTCTGTTAGAAACAAGAGGAAGGTGTTCTGGAAGAAATATAACTCCCTGTCATGTCAGGAAGACAAGTCCCAGAATAGTCACTATTCCATGGGCATGGGTAAACCCATTTCCCATAACCTGCAAGTATAGTACCAAACCCAGTTGTGAGTGATTGAGAAACACTAATTATTGGCAAAACCCATAAGGAGAATAAGGAATAAAGAATCTAAAGCACTTGAATTTCCCCCCAAAAAAACCTCTTCATTATTTGGATTTCTAAAGTCTAAACATAGACCATAAAAAGAAACAGGTGAGAAGAAAAGCTACTTTTATTTTTGCTATTATTCTAACTAAATTAGAATTGTTGTTGTTGTCCTGGCCTAGTTGTCAGTATTGTTCTGCTAGAACCTTCCATAATACTACATCCATTATGGAGGAATGAATGCACACACCACTATCCCCACTATTAATCTCTAGGGCACTATTTCTCAACCACACAAAGGAACTAAGATACTTTTTTACAGAAGATCAATTTGACAATGAAAATCCACCTTCTCTATCTTTACTAATACATTCCAAGAGCCTTCTCAGCTTAAAAAGGAAAAAAAAGGGGTGCCTGGGTGGCGCAGTCGGTTGAGCGTCCGACTTCAGCCAGGTCGCGATCTCGCGGTCCGTGAGTTCGAGCCCCGCGTCAGGCTCTGGGCTGATGGCTCGGAGCCTGGAGCCTGTTTCCGATTCTGTGTCTCCCTCTCTCTCTGCCCCTCCCCCGTTCATGCTCTGTCTCTCTCTGTCCCAAAAATAAATAAAAAATGTTGAAAAAAAAAAATTTAAAAAAAAAAAAGGAAAAAAAAAACACCTCAGATTGCAGATGAAGAGACTACTGGATCAATTCTTAAATGTGTGTAGAGTCAAGAAAGATCTCCCCAGGACCATTCCGTAGCAGCAGCCAGGAGCATCCTGATACATAGACTGAGTGGAGCTTTACTTCTTAGAAAGGTAAGGGGCACCAAGCAAATCGCTGCTCCCCCAAAATCTCTCCCTTCTGGTCTCTCCTGGGGCCCAAACTGTTGGCATCAGCATGCTAGGCATTTAGATCTGTGATGCACATTGGTTTGATAAACACTGTCTGAATAAGGACTATACACCAGACACTGCTAGCTGCTAGATGGAGAAGTGTTGTCAAAGAACAAACAAGTACTAAAAGATTAGAGAAAGAGGAAAAACTTCCACCTGGGAGGATTACGTGGTAGGTGGATGACAGTTCTCCAGATGGATATGAGCAGAGGCAATTTTAAGAGAAGAGATATGCAGAAGTGCAGAGGAGGATGGACTAAAGACATGTTAGACCAGGTCATGAAAACCCTGATTTAATACCACATGACCAGGTAGTGGGGACAAAATATTTTAGGGCAAGTGGAGATCAGAGCTGTGGGACAAATGTGGGAAAGATACAGAGTGGAATGAATGGAGAGGAATCAAAGGTAGGAAGAGCAGTTACTATAGAGGATACTATAAAAATCTGCCAAAAAGAGAACCCCCACACTGGGTCATGATGAAGGACAGAGGGAAGAGGTGGTTGTGATGATGTAGGATGAGGGATGATGGAAGAAGGGCATAAACAATAAAGAGGTGATAAGGTCAGTTTTAGACATGTCAGGTTGGAGGTGCTGGCAGGACATCCCAGAGATAATGGACTGTCCAACTACGAGATGGAAATAAGGGCCAGGAGAGCTAGTGATGGAGAGCAGCCAATAGGAGCTGGTGGGCAAAAGTCAGTGAGTTGGGTTCGGAGAGAAAATTCTTCATTACAAAGTCTTCTCAAGCAGATGAGAAAGACCCCTAGAAAGGGTTCTCAAAAAAAAAACACACTGAAGCTAGTCCTAACCATTAGCATGAACTCTCTTACAGCTTGGTAGTAGGTCTGCCAGTCAATCCAGGGCAACATCATGAGTACCTTAAATGAGGAAAGCTGAGTCCAGAGCCAAGGTTCTTGCTAAGGGAGAACAGAGATGGGTGGGCTAGTTAGGGCCATGGATAATATGAGGGTACAGTGGACATCCATCAAGGCCTAGAGAGGGGAGTGGGGCAGAGAGACGCCCCCGCCCCCTTGAGGCGGGAAGGCCTGCTTCAGTGTTCTGTCCTGACCAGCTGGTGGGGGAGGAGTGGGGTAAGGGGATCAAGAAAAACATAGGGTGGGAGGCCTATCTACTCTCCCTCTCCCCAGCACTTCTGCCCATCCAGCCTGAAAGGCTTTCCACTTCTATGGAAAGAATGAGTGTGGATCTCTTTTACTTATTCACATAAAGAACAATGAGATCTCAGACACTCAAAAGTTCCAGGGACTAGAATATTTGAGAATAGTGTCCTCCTAGATACAGTCATTGCAAGGAGAAGACAGGAATTACCATCCCAGCTCCACCACTAGACTGTAACTGTTCATGTCTCATTCTCCTGGATAGATCTGTCTTGAGGAGCTAGCATGGAATAAGAGCTTGGTGTCTCTGGCCCTACACATCCTCAAATGCGCTCTGGGAATATAATCTCATAGATACAGTTCAGATGACATAATGTATGTGAAACTAGCTCAAAAACTGTCAAGTCACCATATGAATCCTGGTTGTGGTATGTTTGTGTGCAGTTCCCTGTCACCTCTAAGAATTTACAGAAAACAAAACAATCCCAGGTTGTGTGAGCATCTCTAGGATGACAAGGGATGAGCAGGTATTTGCCTTCTTCCTTTGGGGGAAAAATGTTGTTGTTGTTTTTCCTCTCCCTTGCCCAATTAGATGGTCGCCTATTTTTTTCTGTAGCCCACAGCCCTATTTGCATTATTAGACTAACAAACTGGGGAAAATGACACTTAGCCCAGCTCGTAGAACACTTTCCCCCAGAGACCCTCTGAGCTGTTCCACAGGTGAGCAAGGCTCAGCCTCAAGGGCAGCAGCATCCCTGCAGCACTGGCAGAGGGGCCAGGAGGGCGGGAGTGAGGTGTCAGAGGAGAGGCTGCCACTTGGTGAGGATGAATTAGCAGAATGGTGCCTCTCAACATTGGATGGGATATTTCATTCAACTCTATGAAAAGAAGAGGAAATAGTAGGAGAGAATCCCCATCCCAACTTGCACCGCCTTTCTCCTGGTGATAGAACAGTCCCAGACGACTAAGGGAGCCCAGGTGAATGGTGTGAGTCACTGCTGTGGTTGTTGGCGTGAAGCTGTCCCTCCCCCTAAAACATCAGTGGATACCGGAGGGTTGTGTGCCGTTAAGATAGATTCTAAATGCAGGGCGCTTGGGTGGCTCAGTCGGTCGGGCATCCGACTTTAGCTCAGGTCATGATCTCATGGTTCATTGGTTTGAGCCCCACGTCAGGCTCTGGGCTGACAGCATGGAGCTTGCTTGGGATTCTCTCTCTCCCTGTCTCTCTGCCCCTCCCCTGTGCGCTTGCTTGCTCTCTCTCAAAAACAGGAAAAAAAAAAAAAAAAAACATTAAAAAAAATATATTCTAAATGCTTGGAGCAGAAAGGGTGAGCTTAGTTAAGAAACCTTTTTGTTTGAAAAAAATACCATCGACAACAGTATACTGAAACAAGAAGCAGTCCTTTAATGAATATATTTTATATGTCTAGGATTTTTTTTAATTAGATATTTTATAAGATAAATTCTTCACTATCACTCACAATGGATTTTTGTTCATGCCATGTACATTTTTTTTATGTTTTAGGTCCTCCTGGCCCCAGGGGTCCAAAAGGCGACAGAGGACAGCAGGGACCCCCTGGTCCCACTGGCAACAAAGGACAAAAAGGAGAGAAGGGAGAGCCTGGTCCACCCGGCCCCGCTGGTGAGAGGGGCCCAATTGGGCCAGTTGGCCCCCCTGGAGAGCGTGGCGGCAAAGGCTCCAAAGGCTTGCAGGGCCCCAAAGGCTCCCGTGGATCCCCTGGGAAGCCTGGCCCTCAGGGCCCCAGCGGAGACCCAGGCCCCGCAGGCCCACCAGGCAAGGATGGACTCCCTGGCCCTCAGGGCCCTCCTGGCTTCCAGGGATTGCAGGGCACCGTGGGAGAGCCGGGGGTGCCTGGACCTCGGGGGCTGCCAGGCTTGCCTGGGGTGCCAGGCATGCCAGGCCCGAAGGGCCCCCCTGGCCCCCCAGGCCCATCAGGGGCAGCGATGCCCCTGGCCCTACAGAATGAGCCAACCTCTGCACCTGAGGCCAATGGTAAGTCTGAGCCCTCCCTCACAACCAGGGTCAAGGGCACTGTGTGGGGTTGTGCCCAGCCCCCAGCATGCAGCCCATATGCCACCCACACCCCACTTCTCTTGGCATTGAAGGCACCACGTGGGCAGGCATGGACCCCGTTGCTCTCACAGGCCTCTGCACCAGGCAGTGTCACTCAGGCACATGTGTTTCTCTCTAAACACTATCAGGTTCTCTAGCACTTGTTTGTTTAGCTAAGTCAAGCCCTCAGGGACAAATGCGTCCCCAGACATTTCCTTTGTGACAGTCTGAGGCTGGCTACCCCCGACCCATTTTGTTCTCATTTTATGCCCTTCAATCTGGGGGATAGACATCCCTCAGTAACTACGTAGATGGAATTTTGTTACTAAAGCCCAGATTTCATTGTTTCGAGAAGGTGTTATGGTGCTTCTAGTTTTTTTATAATTATTAAATTTGCTTACTAAATTTTGATAACTTGGCAAAACCCTCAGTGTTTGGTTATCAACCAAGCCTATTTTTCTCTCCTTTGAATCACACCCAGTTCCACCTGATTTCCTTAAGCATGACTCTGGTCATCCTTGTAGCTCCACAAGCCCAGTTTTGGTTCTGGGTGCTCCCATCTAGTTACTGATTAGTTCCATGTGACTCCAGACTGATGTGGAACATCTATCTGCATTGCCTTTTGTTGTTGTTTCTGTCACTGTAAATACTAATCCAGACACAGAGGAACTAAGACCCAGCAAAAATAATTTTCCAGGCTACGTAGGTTTGACTACTCTGTGCTCTGTGGCCTGCCCTCCTGGACCAGTCTTAGCTCCCAAGGTGTCTGTCAAGGGCAGTCACAGGCTCACACACAGACGCTGGAACTGCTCACTCCTGGCCTGTGAGGGAAGTGAGGCCAAAGCCATGGCCTCTGACATATAACTGAAGAAAGGCATAGTGCTTCGTGTGTGTGTTTGTGTTTTCATTAATATTTTTAAAAATTTTTTTTAATGTTCATTCATTTTTTGAGAGACAGAGACAGAGCATGAGCCAGGGAGGGGCAGAGGGAGAGGGAGACACAGAATCCAAAGCAGGCTCCAGGCTCTGAGCTGTCAGCACAGAGCCCAAAGCGGGGCTTGAACTCACGACCTGCAAGGTCATGACCCAAGCTGAAGTTGGCCACTTAACTGACTGAGCCACCCAGGCACCCCTAATTAATAATCTTAAACATTTGCATTCCTAGGCTGCCCACCTCACTGGAAGAACTTCACAGACAAATGCTACTATTTTTCGGTTGAGAAAGACATTTTCGAGGATGCAAAACTTTTCTGTGAAGACAAGTCTTCACATCTTGTTTTCATAAACACAAGAGAGGAACAGGTATGTTTGCAGCATACTTGGAGAAAACTATAATTTAAGGATAGTTTACATCTGGAAATTGCATGCTTACTGGGAATTCAAAGATATCAAGAATCTATAGTCACATAAACACAGAAGGCCGCATTCTGGAGATTTGGGCTTTATCCAGTGACAAGAAGCATTCATGGCACGGGAATTCTGTCCTCTTGCTTCATACCTGGAAGATACTGCGTTATTAAGCCAGAGATCTGTGGCTCCCCCCAAACCCCGCCTCTGGTGGCTGTCAAAAGAGCCGTAATGTGGAAAAGAAGCCTGCAGGCTGGCATCAAACGCCTGTGGAGAGAGAAACAAAGGGGCATGAACACTGTAGGGGTGGGTGCAAGGGACCAGATCTGTGGCTTCAGCAGGGTCAGGAATAGCAGAGAAGACCACGGGGTAGAGCCCATACATAACGATGTTGACTACTCCCTAGGCCCCTACTGTGTGCCAGGCACGGTACAAGGCATTTCTCCTTTACACCTCACAACAACCTTAGAACCTGGGGGTATTATTATCCCCTTTTTACAGATAAGAAAACTGAGGCCCCACAAGGTTCAATGGCTTTATTTATGGGATTAAAAAGTAATGCAGAGCTGAGGCTGAAACTGAGGTCCCTCTAGCAACCATGCCAATGGGCTTTGGTGCCACACTGCTCCAGTGGCCTCCTTCTTTTTCTCTAAGTATCTCCAGCAGACACAACCCTGAAAACAGATGTTTCCTGCAATAACTGGCCAGGAATGAGCATCCAGTCAGGTGCCTGGGCTTTAGACTGTGTAGACTTGGGTCTAATCTCAGCCCAGCCACTTACTATCTTGGTTACATAGGTTGCTGTGAAGGCTTAGAGACATGTGGCATGTGACACACTGGACGTGGGACGTGGCCAAAAGAAGAGCTCAATAATGCCACGGTTGTTAGTAGTATTAGAACATGGGAGCAACAGCTGATGGAGAGGGATGGAGCCTGGTGGGATTCATTGAGTTGTCTGGGTGATTTACAAGAGGAAAAGCGTCCCATAAACGTTACTTACAAACTTATAAGAGGAGAAAGTGTCAAAGCCCCCAAAACACTGCAAAACAAAACAGGTGCAGTAAAAAAGAGAGCAGAAGCATGTATGTGCTCTAACAAACATCCTCTTTTAAATGTCCTTTTATCCCCCAAATGCTGCAGGGGACAGGGGAATTCCCCCAGGTATGTGTGACCCCAAAATAATAACACATTGTCACTGTTTTGTTTTTCAGCAATGGATAAAAAAGCAGATAGTAGGAAGAGACAGCCACTGGATCGGCCTCACAGACTCGGAGCACGAAAATGAATGGAAGTGGCTGGATGGGACGTCTCCAGAGTACAAGTGAGTGCTCAGAGCCTTCCAGATCCCTGGGAAGACTTGGGCTGCTCTTGTTTTTCACCTTTTGCCTGACCCCCTGCAGTTTCTTCTTTAACCACCGATGCCCTAGATGCCCCTCACACTGAGGCTTCTGGTACAAGTGTTGTGTATTTCCACGTGTGCTTGAGAATCACTGTGCTATAACATAAGGTTCCTTTTTCTTTTCATGGAGTGAATTTTTGTCATTTATATGGGGAAAAAAAAGTCAGAGACTCCTAAAAGCTCACAGTATGGTACTTGGACTGAGGTGTTCTCCTTAAATGAATGGTGCTCTGAAGGATAAGGAAGCCCAGACTACTTCAGGCACGATCAGAACTTGCCCCAGCCCTGTTCCTGACAAGAGCTGGGAGTTCCCTTAAGGACAGCACCATCACTGCCCCTGACCCCAGCGGGGCTTCTGGCCAGAGTGTGATTATGAACTACAAGTTTATGACAGGTGCACCGTGAACAAAGGTGTGTGTTGTGAGTCCAGCGTGACCTGAGTTCTGTAAAGGCAACGACCAAGAATGGAAGCCCTTTATAAAACCTGCTCAGACTCCCAGGCTCATGGGAACTTCTGTGCCCCTAATTCAATCCCGGGGCTGTCATGTCAGCTCCTTCCCTAATCCTGCCCAAGGGTCATATGGTGGCTGAATTGTGCCAATCTGAACTTCACTTCTTCCAACTCCTGCCTTGCCTCTAATGGATGTGAAAATAGGCAACAAGCTGCACCACATGGAGCAGAATTTATGCAAACTCACCTCCGAATAACCAGCCTTTCCTGTGCTGGAGAAGAGAAGGCAGACCTGCAGAGGCTCAAGCAGGCGTGGTTTGGAGACAGCAGTGACCATGGCACCCAGGAAGGAGACAGTGAGGTGTTTCAGGACTAAGATGGTGTCGGAGGTATTGAGGCCGAGCCTGTAGCTGTCAAGGAGGAGAAGCAGGGGCCAGAGGCGGTGGAGAAGCCAGTGAGAGTTTTTAAAATGTTTCTGTGTGCCTGTGCACAGGTAGACAGACAGGCAGCTTAGCTTTGTACTTTTAAATCTTCCACGGGACCAGGATTAGAGGGTATAGGTAGAAACCTGAGTAAGGCCATTTCTTTACAAAACAGTGACCAAACATCAAGATGGAACATGAGAAGGTTTTAGGTCTGCTCCGAAGGCGAGCCTCACGGTGCCCACAGGGCAAATGGCTTTCTGCCTGCTGGCCTGACACATATCCTGTCGGCTCCCTCTGCACCTGTCCTTGGGGGAGAGGAAGCTATGCCACACCCTGGCGCTCGGGGAATTGGCTGACAGCCACCCTGAGCACCCAGCGTGGCAGAGATGTACTCAGGAGACGCGAAACAGTTGGGAGGGTTGGCGGTGGAGATGGAAGGCATCTCCCTTTAGAGGATAAAGCATAAATCTTGTCTTCAACAGACAGGAGTGCCAGGATCTTTTGTTTTTTTTTAAGGGTGGGCAAAGTTAGGGGCGCCTGGGTGGCTCAGTCAGTTAAGCACCCGACCTCAGCTCAGGTCATGATCTTGGGGTTCGTGAGTTTGAGCCCCACATTGAGCTCTGTGCTGACAGCTTGGAGCCTGGAGCCTGCTTCAGATTCTGTGTCTCCCTCTCTCTCTGTCCCTCCCCTGCTCACACTCTCTCTCTCAAAAATAAATAAACATTACAAAGGGTGGGGCAAGCTTTAAAAAAATCAGCCTTCTCCACTTTCCTCACAGCTATAAGTGCATAAAAGGTCTGGGTTAGACTCACTGAGAAATTCAATCTTAAGCCTTCCTCCAAGAAAAAAACTAGATTGGCCCATATGGGATGGATTGAGCTGAAGCATTATTGTCTGTGCCAACTCTCCCAAAGGGGAACTTTTCTCCTCTTCCCCGGGCTCCAGCAGGAATTTGGTGACTGGGAGGAGAGCACCAGTGTCAGTACCTGGAACCTGAGAGGGATTAGATGATCAGACACCTTGCTGGGAACTCCTCCCCAGCCACAGCCACCCTGGAGCCTCCTGAGAGCCTTGGCTTCTGACCCTAACCACAGCACACACTGCACTTCTCGTTTTCCACCCAGAGGAACACATATGTAGTACGTGAAAAGTCCCCAGGATCAAGTTTTAAAAGCAAGAATAAATTAGGCAGACATATTATGAGGCCTCAATAATGGAAGGCTAATTTAATTTGACATAGAATAATAAACACTGCTCAAGCTAGAAAAAGAGCCAATGCAGTGAGGTCTGGGTTCCAGGGTTTGACGTGGCATTCGTAGCTGCCAGTTACTCCACCATGTGAAATCTCATGTCTTCACCTGGCAGTGAGTATTACAGAAGGACCTATGTTGGTATTGTGAAAATTAAATGAGATTATGTATATAAAGCGTTTAGTTCAGTACTTGGTTCATGGGAAGTGCTCAAGAAATGTCACCTACTAGTATCAGTATTATCACTATTATTGTCATAATTTCAACTATCTTCATACCAGTCAGTAATTGCAGAATAACACTACCTAGCATTTATGTATTTTACCATATCCTTACTCAGATACCACACATAATTATCTCACTCAGATCCCAAACCAGGGTTGTGAAGGCACAACTTTGTGCCTTGCCCAGGCTGCAGAAGAATCAATCATGTCTCCTAGATGTCCTCTTACCATTTTCCTCCAACACACACAGCTTCACACCCACCCACACCCTCACTCTCACAGCCCTTTTGAAATTGTTTCAGGTGTTTGTGGTACTGTTGAAGTGGAAATAGACAAGAGATAAAAGGTTCTCCCTGCCTGTTGCCTACCCACCCCCCCACCTCCATTTTTATGCTGAGACCTAGTTGACAAAGACTGCTGGAAAAAAAAAAAACAGACAAAAAGCAAAGGTAAAAACATGGGATGGATGCTAGATGCTAAAGGGTTGGGTCATATACACACCTGCACTAAGATTTATTTCTAATAAAATATATGACCTGCCTCAATCTGTGGTGGCTCAGGATGCTGCCCAGGACAGTTTCCCAGATGCTTTGGGTCCACACTCATATATAATTCCAAGGGAAAGAATGGAGGGCTGAAATACGTTGCCAACATTTTATTTGCCACTTAAGGACATGTTTTTTAAAAATTGCCTATCAACAAATCTTGGTATTAAAAAACCAAGTCTATAGTCCTTTCCAAGAAGACACTTGGCCATCTCTCTCTCTCTCTCTCTCTCTCTCTCTCTCTCTCTCTCTCTCACACACACACACACACACACACACACACACACACACACAGTTGTCCTTTTCATTTCACCACAGAACTGTGAAAACTTCTTTCCTGGCCAGCATCAAACCCTGACTGGAGATTGGAATCCAGGGCCATAGTCCTATGTCAACATTCAGTGAATTATCCTGGTGAGTCCACTGTGAGCCAGCCTCTGTGCTGGCCTAGAGGATCTTTTCCAAAGTACAGAGGCAACAATGAGTGAGACATGTTGCTGCTCATGTAAAAAAAAGTCTGATTTCCAGGACCATGTCACAATCAAGAAAATAGACACACCAACCCTAAATGTGGACACAGCAAAGAGTGGGGCTTCAAAGGAGATTTCAACATTCTCTTTATAGTAATTGATAGAGCAAATAAGTAGAAAAATCAGTAGGGATATGATGGACACTATTAACTAACTTGACTTAATTGATGTTTATGGACTGTTTCACCCAAGAGCTGTAAATGCACTCTTCTCAAGCACATTCGGTACATTCACCAAGATAAACTATATGCTGGGCCATCACACAAGTCTCAATACATTTAAAAAGAACTGAAATTATACAGAGTATGTTCTCTGACCAAAATTAAATTAGAAATCACAGCAAAAAAGATATCTGCAATATTGTCAAATATTTGTAAATTAAAGAACACACATCTTAATAACCCATGGATCAAAGAAGAAATCAGAGAGGAAACTTGCAAATGTTTCAAAGAAAATGAAAATATAACATCAAAATTTATACAGTTAAAACAGTGTTTAGACTCCTCTAAAGTACTCATGTTTTTTTAAAAAGTTTTTTATTTTTTTTAATGTTTATTTTTGAGAGAGAAGGAGCATGTGCGTGAGCTGTGTTAGAGCAGAGAGAGGGAGTCAGGATCCAAAGCGGGGTCTGCTCTGAAAGCAGACAGCCTGATGTGGGGCTCAAACTCACCAACCATGAGATCATGACCTGAGCTGAGCCAGGTCGTAATCAACTGAGCCACCCAGGAGCCCTTGAAAAAAAGTTTTTAAGTTGAAAATCCATGATCTAAGCTTCCACTTTATGTGGGTAGAAGAAAAGCAAGTCAATCCCAAAATAAGTAGAAGGAAGGAAACAATAATGACTGGAAAGCAGTGAATCAGAACACAGACACATGAAAGAAAGGATCAGTGAGCCTAGGAACACATCAAAGCTGATCTTTCTACTCTGGATGTAATACATGCAAGTACGTTGTTTGGCAGAGATCATCACTGTTTACAGAGGCTGCCTGGTACAAGTGCAGGAATCAGACACAAGTGGCATGTAGGTTCTGCCCACTGACTTGGCCCAGAGCACAACCCAAAGGGAGCCTTGTAAGGCCTTTTCCAGTGCGCTCTGCTTGCTGTTGCCCACCTTACTTAGATCACCAAAGATGTGAGTATCTTCCTGAGGGCTTCCCAAAACACACTTGAAGTTCCTCTATTCCTCTTGTCCACTTCTTAGTCCCCTGAGCAGAACCTCATTTGGTGGGAATATGCTGTTATGTGTAACACTCTCATCTCTGCATTGCAAAGATAAAACCTGGGTTGCCTCTGTCCATGTAGACTGTTCCGTTATAATATTACATATTGTGTTTTTAGACTGTAGAGCCATAGAATGGTGGAGACCAGAAGGGAACCTTCAGAGTCATCTAATTCACTAAAAACTCTGGTTGACGCTTCATGTTTCTGTCAGAGTGGCATTGGCTTAGGCCACCAGAGAGAAACCTATATAGACCCTGGTATCGGGAGAACATTCTACAGCAAAGTAATACTTCTCACTACTAAGATTTTCCTGTTTTGAGGCCAGGCTCTTACCAGCAGAAGTTTCTTGGCCATGAGGCCTCAGTCTTGTGGTTGATGAGAAAGTACTAAGTCGTGAGGTTGGAAGGGGCTATTCCCAAGATTGAGACTTTGTGCTCTGCCACCATTAGGAGAAACCAAAACCCTGGGTGAGGGAATTCACACCCACTAGCTGATGTGCTGGTGTGTTTCCAGCTGACAAGAGCAGTGAGTCCAAGTGCTTCCAAGGTCCCTGGAGTACTTAGAGAATGCTGTCCAGGTACAAATGTGTGTTGGGATATGTGTTATAATATGGGATTCAGGGACTTGGGGCCCATCCTTCAGCCATCTTCTTTCCAGAATCTACCTGTAAAGGAAGTTAAGGCGCAGTGTAACCTGAAATTCTTCTCTAAACTATATATGCTCTCTTTATCTGACATGTTCTATTCTGTTTAATGACAAGCATGCAGGCTTGGGGTTTTGCTACAAATCACTCCATGTGATTTGGCTTTTCCAAAGATATATTTTGAGACTGGGTGAAAGACAAATTGCCCCCTGGAGCCTGGCTTCAGGTTACCTCACCGCCCATCCACACTAGTATCACCTAAGTCACACACTCATACCCACAGAACTGCATTCTACTTCTAGTCCCAAAGGAAAAACTTGAGTACCATATGCAGAGAATTCCAATGACTTAAAAAATAATGGAGAATGGTGATAAAGGTTATCTCTTTTTTGTAATTTTTTTAAGTTTGTTTATTTTGAGAGAGAGTGTGAGCGAGCACACAAGCGGGGGAGGGGCAGAGAGGAGAGAGGGGATCCCAATCAGGCACCATCCGCACAGAGCCTGATGTGGGGCTTGAACTCAGGAACCAAACCATGAGATCATGACCTGAGCCAAGATCAAGAGTCAGAGGCTCAACCAACTGGGCCACCCAGGCACCCTGATAAAGGCTGTCTCTTATCTTTAACTTATCTTTTGGTCTAGTCTAGAAATCCCTTTTATCTATTTAACTTGAAGTAAATGCAGGGGAAAGATACTAAGCAGGTCTTCTTTCAGAACTCCTATTTATACAACTTCCCAATTAACTGAGATAAAGAATATCAAATGTCCCATCATTATACATTCAGGAATTACAGACCTCAAATTCTATAAACAAAATTGGAATAAAACCCCTTCATGTTACTGACAGAAATTAACCAAATGTACACCAACAGGATCAAACTGCTCAGGCATTGTTGACATTGCTGAAGGGTCCTACAGGGTGGATGGAAATATACAAAAAAAGCAGACGTGAAAGTAAACTATTTTTCCTTCTAACTTCATCTGTCTTTGGCCCAATCACTGCGGCAGTCTGAGATTTTTAATTCACTTGTTTGTTGCCTATTACATAAGTTCTCCAAGGGAGGGAATTCTCTCTAACCCCAACCCAACCCTAACCCACATGCTGTGCTGCCATCATGTAGCATCATCCCTGGCACATAGTAGGTACTGTCTGGATATCTGTTGAGTGAATGTGTGAATGAATATTTCTAACACTCCCTCCTAAGTATCATCCCATTTTTATTCTTTTTAGTTGATGGTTTTGTCTAAATTATCTGTTTATCACTAGATTTATTTAAGTGAGGTCACTTTACATTTTTTAAAAATCCATATATATATATATATATATATATATATATATATATATGGATCCATATATATGTCTGTGTACATATATATATTTTATATACATTTATATTATATATTATATACATTTACATATATATGAATTATATGGTGTGGGGAGTCAATTCTGCCTTGTTTCCCCACCTTTTAATTGTAAATTTCACCTGTCATTTCCCACTGCCCTCTAGTCTTACTGGTCCTATTGTGAAAAGATGTAGAGCAATATGGGCTCTATCCTCAGATTACCCTAGGACACCCTGTGGCTGATGGGGTAGTGAGTCATTTATGGGAAGAGCCTTCTGCTGCACATGTTTTTTTAGACCCTCCACGCAAGGCAAGCTTGTCTTCTCAGGCAGTAACCACAAATTTCTGTGCAGGAACCTGCTTCTTAGAGAAAATTGAGCTCTCAAGTTTTGAGTCCTGGAAGCACAACTAATTTATTGCACAGAAAGACAATCAAGAACAGTGAACTCTGACAAAGTGGTATTTTAAGCTGCGGCATCCAAGTTAACAAGCCCCCAGTGAACTCCTGAAGAAAATATGTTTTTGAGAATTTCCCTCCCCAAAAAGGCAGTGAAATGTCTGAGTCATTTTCAGTAAGATTCAATTACTACTTCTTTCTAAAGCAGTCAACTATCTGCAGCTTAGCCAGACAACCCATAACCAAGGGTTTGTAATTGTAAATTCTCGTAAATGTGGATATTGGCGGTCCCTCACTTTCTCTGTGTGATGCTTTGACTTGTCAGAGGCAAGGAATCAAGATGCACAAGGATTCCTCTGGGCTCCCATAAGAGTGAGAGAGACTGTGTATGTGTGTATCATGTCCTCAGCGTGCATATATATTCACACACATATTCACACACGCCCAGAAGTCAGAATTCCAGTACACACTGGAAAGTTACTCATCTAACTATGTTGCCGAAGGATTTACTCCCTCAGCATTGTGATGAAGCAGCTCAATGAGTTGATTTCATTCAAAGATAACAAGCCCACAGGGAGATGCTGCATCACACACCACTCTGCAAAACAGCTGCTTTTTATTCTAAGAGCAGGCACAGCTTTTTAAACAGTGTATTTTTATTCCAGGACAAATGACATGGCTTCAGTTACGTTTTTTATATTTATATGCTGCTCTTGGGTAAAAAAAACTTCTGCATGACTTGCAAATAACACTCCATTTCTGTTTTGTTAAAAGAAATTGGAAAGCTGGACAGCCAGATAACTGGGGTCATGGCCATGGGCCAGGAGAAGACTGTGCTGGGCTGATTTATGCTGGGCAGTGGAATGACTTCCAGTGTGAAGACATCAATAACTTCATTTGCGAAAAAGACAGAGAGACAGGTAAGCAGGAGAGGGGACTGAAGAGCGAGCTGCACAGCTTATATTCTGTCAAAGGGTGAGATGTGAGGAGTAGAAGGGCTCTAAATGCGGACTCTGCAGTCAGGTTCTACAGCCTGTGGTTCTGCCTCTTACCGGTGGGGCAGCTTGTTAACCTTAGGGAAATAATAATAGTATCCTCTTCGTGGGGTTTTCATGAGAGTTTAAACAAGTTAATAAATGTGCCTAACTTCTAGGAAGTAAATATCAGATTAACTGTTCTAGGTCACTATCTCATAATATTGTCAGTTAATAAATATGGTACCAGTGTTATCATCAGTTTTATAGTTTCATACGTGGACAATTTAGGTGACTAAGCATTCAATTCCATGCGTATTTACTGAGCATCTACTATGAGCCAGATGCTATGCCTGATAATAGAGGGAGATCAGCTTAGAAGCTTTTCGGGGGTATAGACTAAGAGCCTTTTGTGTATACGTTGTTTTTTTTTTTAATTACAAAAGATACCTATCTAAAGTTTCATTTAATACATGACCCTTTTCAGAATGGGTGTCTTAGTTTTCTTCATCAGACCTAGATTTAAACATTTATGGTGGGGGAAGGAGGGAATGAGGAGTGAATCCTCATGAGTATGGATTTCTTTTGGGGGTGATGATATGTTCTAAAATTAGATATTTCTAAATTTTACACATCTTTGAATATACTAAAAGCCACTGAATTGTATACTTTAGATGGGTAAAATTTATACGTGAATTACATCTCATAAAGCCTTTATAAAAACGGTGGTGGTAAACAAAAACCTCAAATACATTTGCTCAAACCATTATTGACAGTAACCAGGACACAAGTTATCCATACATCCATTCAACATTTATTGAATACCAGGCACTAGTCTCCAGTGCCACAGGTCTTGAGACTCACAAAGAACTCCCAGCCTGATCAGTTCCAGGGGACAACTACAAATATCTAAACAAGAAATGACCCCTTCCAATTCATGATGGCATGTCCCACAAACACACCAAGTCTACAGCTACATATGGAATAACTGCCTCCGAAAAAAACTTAAAGCCTGGCCGAGCAACTGCTACACATGAGGCAAACAAGAACAAAAACCACATCGAAGCGGGTAGGAGAGGCGGGGACACAATCTTGCCATAAATCCCACCCTCCTGCACAGTGACACCTCAGTCAGAGGGGAGCTCAAAACCCAGAGCTTCTTCCGGAGGAGAACCCTACATCCGGTACCCCAAGTTTTAAGACTTGCACCTGAGAAACAAGCCCCCAAAACCTCAAGCTTTGAAAACCAAAGGGGCTTGTATCCATGAGACCCACAAGGCTATAGCAAACTGAGAAATGGGGTCTTAAAGGGCCTGCACACTTGGACTCACCCACCCCACGGCCCAATTCACAGGCAGTCAACTGCACCCAGAATTTACATGAAAGAAGCTCATTTGCTTATATTAAAGCATAGGGCTGGGGGCAGGCATCTAACTTAACATACGTATCTAGGAGCCTGGTGGAATACTGTCTGAGACCTGACAGGCACCATCCTTACTCTCTCCCTCGGCCTTGCTCCACGGCACCAGTATCTCCTAGATAAATGTCTGGTGCCTTGGTTTTTGCCCATGGGACTGCCCTTGATCACCCAGCTCTGGAGGCCGGGGAGACTTGGGTTCCTGGGTTCTATGGGACTGTAGCAATCAGACCATTCTTGACAGACTACTGCCCCAGGACACTGCACAGACAGCAGGCTGCAAGACACCCTCAGTCATTCCGTGAAAGAAGCCTTATTTGCTTGTCCAGGAGCCTAAGGAACAGGCCTCTGGTTTGGCACACATCTAGGAGCCTATACATATGTTCTTCAGGAACAGAGGCTGGTGGATTCAGTCTTTGCCCTCTCCCTCAGAGTCACTCAGATTCATCAGTGTCTCCCAAAGAGGAGCTTAGACCCTTGTCTGGTGCCCTAATTTTTGCAGCTGCCACCAGGGGACAGTTCTACATGACTTGGTATCAGTGGACATGGGTCCCACAGGACTATACCAACAGAGAAAGAGTTGTTAAACAGCAACCACCCCCAGGGCACAGCAACAGGTAACAGTCCCAGAAGCTCAGTCTATCTGTGAAAGATGCCTGTTAGCTTATCATCATGGCTGCAGCTGGAGGCACAGGCTTATAATTAAGCACGTATCTAAGGACTGATTGTAAGCATTCCAGAGACCTCTCCTCAGAGGGCAGTCACTATCTCCATCCTCTCTGCTGTGCTCCAGAGCACCAGAATCTCCTGGTGGGCTAGGTACCCAGGACAGCTCTTACACATGTGTGGTGGGCTAGGGAACCTATCAGGTTTGGCACACATCTGAGGTGCTCCTAGGGAACAGAGGCTGGGGGATACTTTGTACTCTCCCTGTGCCTCATGAAAGCCCACTGGTATCTCCCAGAAAGGAGCTTGTATACTCACGTAGAGCCTTGGTTTTTGCAACTGCCACTGAGGGTACACCTTCAGATCACCTGGCTCTGGTGGCCAGCAGACCTTATACTCATGGTCCCACAGGACTGTATATATTTGCATATTTTAAACACTATTGCCTGAATGTCTGACTTCCAATGTGTGTCTGCCTACACAAGGTAGAAAGCTTATGAAAGAAATTAAAGAAGACAAAAAGAAATGGAAAAACATTCCATGCTCATGGATTGGAAGAACAACTATTGTTAAAAGTTGATACTACCCAAAACAATCTACGCATTCAAAGCAATCCCTATCAAAATAACACCAGCATTTTTCACAGAGCTAGAAACAACAATCCTAAAATTTGTATGGAACCAGAAAAAATGTTGAAAAAGAAAAAGCTGGAGGGATCACAATTCCATACTTCAAGCTGTATTACAAAGCTGTAATCACCAAGACAGTATGGTACTGGCACAAAAACAGACACATAGATCAATAGGACAGAGTAGAACCCAGAAATGAACCCACAAACATATGGCCAACAATTCTTTGACAAAGCAGGAAAGAATATCCAATGGAATCAAGACAGTCTTTTCAGCAAATGGTGTTGGGAAAACTGGACAGTGACATGTAGAAGAATGAACCTGGACCACTTTCTTACACCATACACAAAAATAAACTCAAAATTGGTGAAAGACCTAAATGTAAGACAGGAAGCCAACAAAATCCTAGAGGAGAAAACAGGCAACAACCTCTGACCTTGGGTGCAGCAACTTCTTACGAGACATGTTTCTGGAGGCAAGAGAAACAAAGCAAAAATGAACTATTGGGACCTCATCAAGATAAAAAGCTTCTGCACAGCAAAGGAAACAGTCAGCAAAACGAAGAGGCAACCAATGGAATGGAGAAGATATTTGCAAACGACGTATCAGATAAAGGGTTAGTATCCAAAATCTATAAAGAACTTATCAAACTCAACACCCAAAAACAAATAATCCAGTGAAGAAATGGGCAAAAGACATGAATAGACACTTCTCCAAAGAAGACATCCAGATGGCCAACAGATACATGAAAAGATGCTCCACATCACTCATTCTTAGGGAAATAGGAATCAAAACCACAATGAGACAACACCTCACACCTGTCAGAATAGCTAAAATTAACAACTCAGGAAACAACAGATGTTGGCAAGGATGCAGAGAAAAGGAAATTTTCTTTTTCTTTTTGAACTGCTGGTGGGAATACAAACTGGTGCAGTCACTTTGGAAAACAGTATGGATGTTCCTCAAAAAATTAAAAACATAACTACCCTATGACCCAACCATTGCACTACTAGATATTTATCCAAAGGATACAAAAACGCTGATTCGAAGGGGCACATGCACCCCAAGGTTTCTAGTAGCACTATCACCAATAGCCAAAGTATGGAAAGAACCCCAATGTCCATCAACTGATGAATGGATAAAGATGTGCTACATATATATACATACACACACACACACACACACACACACACACACACACACGCACACAATGTAACATTACTCGGTGATCAAAAAAAGTGAAATCTTACCATTTGCAACAATGTAGATGGAACTAGAGTGTACTATGCTAAGCGAAATAAGTCAGAGAAAGCAAATATCATATGATTTCACTCATATGTGGAATTTAAGAAAGCAGATGAATATAGGGGAAGGGAAGCAAAAACAAGATAAAAACAGAGAGGGAGACAAACTGTGAGAGACTCTTTAATACAGAGAACAAACAGGGTTGCTGGAGAGGAGTTCGGTGGGGGGATGAGCTAAATGGGTGATGGACATTAAGGAGGGCACTTGTTGGGATGAGCACTGTGTGCTCATGATGAATCACTAAATTCTGTTCCTGAAATCATGATTACACTACATGTGAACTAACTTGGATTTAAATTTAAAAAATTTTTTTTAATTAAAAAAAAAAAAAAAAAAGACTGGGAGAGGTGGTTGTTTCCTCTAATACATAGAAACCAACAGAGAGAGTCAAGCAAAATGAAGAAACAGAGGAAAATATTCCTAACAAAAGAACAAGATAAAACTTCAGGGGAAAGAAAACCTTCATAAAATGAAGATAAGTAATACACCTGATAAAGTGCTCATAGTAATGGTCATAAAGATGCTAACTGGAACACCAGGGAAGATGGCAGAGTAGGAGGATCCTGAGTTCACCTTGTTGCAAGGGCACACCAAGATAGCAACTACCATCATGTGACTTAACTCTGAAAACAACCTGAAAAGTGGCAAAACAGACTTTTCATAACTAATCCTAGGAGGCCGCATCATAAAAGGTAGGAAGGACAGAGATGTAGTTGGAAACCAAACCCTGACTATGACTAACTGAAAATGGGAGGGACATCACATCAGTGGGGCTAAAACCCCAGGAAGCTGGAGGGCAATAGGAAACTGAATCCCCACCTTTAAAGAGCCAGAAAAGGAAACCATCAGTAAAACTAAAAGCCTAGTAAATGAGAGAAAATATTTGCAAATAATATATCTAAGGGGTTAATATACAAAAACTATAAAGAACTTATACAACTCAGCACCAAAAAAAAAATTTTTTTTGACTAAGAAATGGATAGAGGACCTGAATAGACATTTTGCCAAAGAAGACATGCACATGGCCAGCAGACACATGAAAAGGTGTTCAACATCACTGATCATCAGGGAAATGCAAATCAAAACCATCAGGAGATGTCACATCACCCCAGTCAGAATAGCCAGGGCTAGTATCAAAAAGACAAGAAATAGGGGCACCTGGGTGGCTCAGTTGGTTAAGCATCCACTGTCAGCACAGAGCCCACTTCAGATCCTCAAACCCCCTCTCTCTCTCTGCCCCTCCCTGCTCTCATTCTCTCTCAAAAATAAACATTAAAAAGATAAGAAATAACAAGTGTTGGTGAGAATGTGGAGAGAAGGGAACACTTGTGCACAGTGTTGGGAATGTAAATTGGTGCAACCACTGTGGAAAGCAGTGTGGAGATTCCTCAAGAAATGATAAATAGAATTACCATATGATCCAGCAATTCCACTACTATTTACCCAAAGAAAAAGAAAGCACTGACTTGAAAAAATATATGCACTCTCTATGTTTACTGCAGCATTGTTTACAATAGATAAAATATGGAAGCAACTCCGTGTCCATTGATAGATAAACGGATAAAGATGTGTGTGTGTGCATGCATATATATATATAGAGAGAGAGAGAGAGAGAGAGAGAGACACACACATGCACACAGAGGAATACTACTCAGCCATAAAAAATGAATGAAATCTTGCTGTTTGCAACAACATGGATGGACTTAGAGGGCATTAAGTTAAGTGAAATAATTCAGAGAAGGACCAATACCATATGATTTCATTTATATGGAATCTAAAAGACGAAGCAAATGAACAAAGAAAAACACTCTTAATTACAGAAAACAAATTGGTGGTTTGGAGGGATGGGCAAAATAGATAAAGAAGATTAAGAGGTACAAACTTACAATTATAATGTAAATAAGTCACCAAAATGAAAAGTACAGCATAGGGAATATAGCCAGTAACATTGTCAGAACATCATATGGTGACAGATGATTATACTTATCATAGAGAACATTAAATAATGTATAGAATTGCCAAATCAATATATTGTATACCTGAAACTAATATAACCTTGTATGTCAATTATACCTCAGTGATAATTATTTAAAAAGATGCTCACTGAACTTGGGAGAATGGATGAACATGATGAGAACTTCCAGAGAGATAGAAAATACCAAACAGAAGTCACAGAGCTGATGAATATAACAACAGAACTGAAAAAATATCTTAGAGGGGTTGAACAGCAGAATAGATGAAGCAGAAGAAAGGATCAGTGAATTCACAGGACAGTGGAACTCACCAAAGTAGAGTAACAAAAAAAGAGAATGGAAAAAAGTGAAGATACCTTAAGGGATTTATAGGACAACATCAAGTATACTAACATCACATTATAAGGGTTGTAGAAGGAGAAAAGGGGGTGGGCAGAAAACTTCCCTAACCTACAGAAGGAGATAGACATTCAGATTCAGGATGCCTTGAGAGTTCCAAAGAAGATGAACCCAAAGAGACCAACACCAAGACACATTACAATTGAAACGTCAAAAGTTAAAGACAAGGAGACAATTTTAAAAGAAACAAGAGAAAAACTTGTTATGTACAAGGGAACCCCCATAGGACTATCAGATTTTTCAGCAGAAACTTTGCAAGACAGAAGGGAGTGGCATTATATATTCAAAGAATATTTTTTTAAATGCTCAAAGAACAGAACTTCCAACCAAGAATACGCTACCTGGCAAAGTTATTCAGAATTGAAGGAGAGATAGAGTTTCTCAGATAATCAAAAGCTAACAGAGTTCATCACCACTAAACCAGCCTTACAAGAAATGTCGAAGGGACTTCTTGAAGCTGAAAAAGGGGTGCTAATTAGGAACAAGAAAACACACCAAAGTATAAACTTTAATGGTAAAGGTAAATAGTAAAGGTGGTGGATTAGTCATTTCAAAGACAAAAGTAATAAAAATAACTATACAATAATTAAGGATACACAAGATAAAAATATATGAAATGGGACCTCAAAAAAATAAAATGTGGGA